AATTACATAGCACCGAAACAGCCTTAGTTAGGGTCTGCAACGACATTATTCTGGCAACTGACTCTGGTCAGTCTGTAGTCCTGGTACTCCTTGACCTTACCGCTGCATTTGATACTATGGACCACAGTATCCTTTTATCCCGGCTAGAACACTGGGTTGGGATTACTGGTGCAGTGTTAGAATGGTTCCATTCATACCTGAGCGACAGGAGTTTCTGTGTTAATTTTGCTAACACTCTATCTACTTCAGTGCCTCTTTCCTGCGGGGTCCCGCAAGTCTCCATTCTTGGACCCCTTCTTTTTATTGTATCTCCTCCCCTTAGGGTCTATCCTGAAGAAACATGGTCATTCCTTTCATTGTTATACTGATGACTCTCAGATTTATCTGCCATTAACACTTAACAGTTCCCCCTCCATTCGCCCTTTGTTAAAATGCCTTGATGACATCAAGACTTGGATGGCTGCAAACTTTTTGAGTTTTAAGGATCAGAAGACTGAGGTCATTGTATTTAACCCTAGCTCTGCCACTGTCACTGATCCTGCAAACCTGGACTCCCTTCAGCCATATCTAAAACAGTCTGTTACCGATCTCGGGATAGTTTTAGACTCGGACTTTAAGTTTAATAAACAGATAAATTATGTTCTTCAAAAAAGCTTCTTTCAGCTAAGGCAGATAGCTAAGCTCAAGTCCGTGCTGTCCAGATCCGACCTTGAAAAATTAGTCCATGCATTTATTACAACTCGGCTGGACTACTGTAACTCGCTTTATGCTGGGATCAGTCAGGTCTCTCTCTCAAGTCTCCAGCTCGTACAAAATGCTGCAGCTCGGCTACTAACAGGAACTCGCAGGTTTGAGCACATTACTCCAGTTCTGTCCTCCCTTCACTGGCTTCCTGTGCGTGTCAGAGTTGATTTTAAGATTCTTCTGCTGACATTTAAGTGTGTTAATGGCCTTGTACCCTCATACCTCCACCCTCATTCGCCCCACTCTGGGCCCCTGAGCAAAGCCCTTAACCCCCACCATCTGCTCCCTAAACAGTTCTCTCTTGAAAATGAGTTCTCGTGGCTCAATGAGACTACCTGTATAAATAAAGGGTAAATAAAATAAATTTTAAAAATACCTCTCCGACCTCCTTCATCCTTATACTCCTTCTCGGGCCTTGAGATCATCAGACCAGCTGCTTTTGGCCGTACCTGAAACCAGGCTGAAGCTCAGAGGAGATCGAGCGTTCTCAGTCGTGGGCCCTAAACTCTGGAACAATCTGCCCATCAACATTCGACAGGCCGCCTCAGTCTCTATTTTTAAATCTCTCCTCAAAACACATCTGTACTCATTGGCATTTAACACAGTGTGATCTGATTTGGTATTTTGTTGTTGATGATTGTGTTCATCCATTTTGTTTTTACTTCCTGACATTTAACGCAGGGTGATTTGATTTAGTATTTCATTGTTTCTCATTATATTTAATGTTTTTATGCTTTTATTCATGTTGCTGTAATATGTTGTTATTAATATTTGATCCTGTGATCTTTTTTGTAAGCACTTTGATAACAGTTACTGTTTTAAATGTGCTATATAAATATATGTAACTTGACTTGACTGATGCATCCATATATTTCTATGCTGATGACACAGTTGTTTATTGTCGAGTTAAAACAGTTGATAAGGTTTTCCAGCTTTTGAAATTTGCATTCAAGATCATCCAGACTGATTTGTTCCGCCTCAAACTTGTCCTAAATGCCGACAAAACCAAAGGGATGCTTTTTTCAAAGAGGAAGTTGGTCCCAGCAGTTCTTCCTCCGATTTTATCCTCAAATGGTGTCCCCATTGAGTTTGTTGATTCCTATAAATATTTGGGTATCTTGGTCGACTCACATCTCTCTTTTAAGCTCCATGTGGAAAACTTGGTAAAGAAACTGAAAGTTAAACTGGGTTTCTTTTTCAGAAACAGATCCTGTCTAACCCTGAATGCTAGAAAACGCCTTGTATCTGTGACTTTCCTTCCCTCCATTCATTACAGTGACATTATTTACATGAACGCTCCTACAAGAACCCTGCAGATGTTGGATGCTGTCTATCATGGTGCACTAAGATTCATAACTGGCTGTGATTATCGTACCCACCACTGCACCCAGTATTCACTGGTTAACTGGACATCATTAACTTCACGCAGACTCTCTCACTGGTACATTTTCATCTTTAAATCACTTCTTGGTCTGCTGCCTTCATACATCTCCTCCTACATGTCTCTGCGTGAGTGCAGCTACAGCGTGCGCTCTCAGGACATTATTACCTGCAGTGTTCCCTCAGTGAGGACTGAACTTGGCAAAAGGGCCTTCTCCTACTCCGCTCCTGTTTCCTGGAATATCTTACAAAAAGATCTGAAGCTCTCGACCTTGACCTCTCTAAGTGGCTTTAAGAATCTGTTGGACTCCTGGCAGGATCCAATGCAGACATGTTCCTGTTTTTAGTTTTCTACATTTGCCTTAGAATCTAGCTGTTTTTGGGTTTTTTGCCATCTTATTTGTAAAAAAAAATAAAAAAATCTGTATGCCCTTTTTATAATTGTTTATTGTTGTTGCTGTTGTCCATTGTTGTCATCTTTCTTTGTTGAAATCAGGTCTCTCTTGTAAATGAGTCCTCGAGGCTCAATGGGATTTACCTGTATAAATAAAGGTTGAATGAATGAAAAAAAGTCCTACTTTTAAAAAATCTGCATCAGTTAATCTGTCCTACATATTTATATTTTCAGTGCTTTACCTGGGTGATCTTTGGTGTAATACGGTGTACAGCACGCACAGCACAGCTTTGCTCATGTGCAAGAAAACAGAAGCTCTGTGGATGAAAAAAGTTTGTGCCAAATAGAAGGGCTGCCTGACGACAAAGTAAAGCACTGAAAAAAACTTTAAATATGGTGTACACTTAAACTGACAGGGTTTTGTTTCAATAGGGATTTCTTTTACTTTTCTAATGCAACTTTTGTTGTTGGCCTCATCCATAACACTTTTTATCATTTTGTTTCTGGGCAGTCTGTGCTTCTATGAACTGGGAGTGTGCTGTAGCCTCTGTCAGGTTATGCACTGACTGCATAGAAGAGCATCCTACAACCCCACTTCAAGAAACTGAACTATCCCTTAAAGTTTTAACGCATAGGATATTAAACCTCACAAGAGCTTGAATATAAAGATACCTTGGAGTAATGGTATTCTGCGCTTGCACACAAAAATGACCATTTATTATAATTATGTCTTTATAAGGCTCATACTGGATGATGCCT